AATCACTGTCACTACAGCCAAGAAGTGACCATTCTCTGGATTTTGGTGGAAAGGTTCCTTCTCCTCCTCAAAGCCCAGACCAAAGGACAGTCACTGCTTGACAACATCAGGGGAAAAAATCCAATCCAATTTTATGAAAATAAAGGCCTGGAAAGTCTAACAGATGTTTGTACAGCTGTTTAATTTGCAAATAAGTAAATTAGATGTTTATGTGAGAATTCCCATTTTTTTTAAGATTAAGGCCCACACAGACTTTTAAGTTTTAACTTGTGAACTCTACTCAGAACTGTGTTCACTCTATTTTTCAGGGTCCACCAGGCCAGCCTGGTCTTCCTGGTCCTTCTGGTCCTCCTGGTCCATGTTGTGCTGGTGCTCCTGATGGTCAGAAAGGTCCATCTGGCTTTGGGTATGAATATCGAGATGAGCCAAAAGAAAATGATATCAACCTGGGTGACATCATCTCTTCAATGAAATCAATTAACAACCAGATTGAAAATATCATTAGTCCTGATGGGTCACGGAAGAATCCAGCTCGTAATTGCAGGGATCTGAAATTCTGCCATCCCGAGCTTAAGAGTGGTATGTTTTACTTTCACCAGTGGTAGCAGATCTTGGGGATTGGGTTTTATTAACCTAAGTATTTGAATGCTATAAAAATTTGATTTACTTTTTTAATAAATGTCATGATGAAAGATGATAAACATAATTTTAACGTTTAATTAACTATGCATTTGCACAGTATATGCACTGACTTCAGCTCTACTCCCTATGTCCTTCTAAGTGATCATGTGTTTAATTAATTTCCAGGCAAAAACCCATGACAAGTGTAAATTCTATATTTATTTCAAGTGTCAGTCCCATTACAGTATTCACATGAATTCAGTATATTTTTATATCACCTTCTTTTCTGTGGCATCTCTTCTGTCAAACCTAATATGCTTCCTATTTGGCTCAGTAATCCGGCATAGAAATAAGCTTTGTCATCCTGCAGTCAGATTCTTCTCCAAATATGTAAAGCCTCTTAACATTTTTCTTTATCTCTAGGAGAGTACTGGGTTGATCCTAACCAAGGTTGCAAGATGGATGCTATTAAAGTATACTGCAATATGGAAACTGGTGAAACATGCCTCAATGCTAACCCCAGGACTGTGCCAAGGAAAAACTGGTGGACCAGTGCAAACAGTGGAAAGAAACACGTTTGGTTTGGAGAATCTATGAATGGAGGCTTCCAGGTAAGGAATAACCACAGTTAACAGCCCAAACTGTACATCACAACATACTAAAAAATAATCCTGCAATTAAAGTAAGTTCAGCATTTAGTGGGTGTAATAATCGTGATGTGGACTGTCCCTAGAGGAGATTAAATACAGTTGTGTATGTGTGGTACTCTGCAGTTCAGCTATGGAGATCCTGACCTTCCAGAGGATGTTTCAGAAGTCCAGCTGGCCTTCCTCCGCATCCTCTCCAGCCGTGCCTCCCAGAACATCACCTACCACTGCAAGAACAGCATTGCCTACATGGATCAAGCCAGTGGAAATGTTAAAAAAGCCCTGAAACTGATGAGCTCTACAGAAAGTGAGATCAAGGCTGAAGGAAATAGCAAATTCACATATGCTGTTCTGGAAGATGGCTGTACTGTAAGTAGTTACAAATTTAGTACAGTAGTTTAATAAACAATTCCCTCTAGAGGATTAGACTCATGATCAAGGAAAAGAGAGCTTTGCTTGGCCTGGGCAAGCAAAGGACACAGCTGTACCTAATAAGGGAAACTTAGATTCTGTATACCAGAAGTGTCACTCCTGTAGCAACTGTAGGAAGTGAGGTGCACTTCCATTTCAATCTGTGCTTTACAGGTACCTCCTTGCTTTAAAGTCAACATCAGGGAAGTCACACTGACCAAGTTCTGATCGATCCCATGTCAACTCTAAAACTAAGAGTGGAAGGAATCATGTTAGCCACACCAACAAATCAAGGCTAGCAGATTGAAGCCACGGGCTATGACTATGAAACGGGGCAAACACAGTCCTTTTGTAGATCCAGCACTGCGTCCATGTGCCTTGCTCACTGCAGAAAGTAGTGGAAAGGAGCAGTAACACCCATGAGCATGTTGGTCGATCAACACCTGCAGCCTTTTCACTAGTTCATGCAAAACACTTCACACTGCCCACAATTTCTCCCTCCTGGTATTTAAAGTCCCAAAACACTGACCTATATGTGAAATTTGCCCTTTAAGGATACATGAACATGTCTGCTTTGCAGCCACTTTGTGGCCATTTCTTTAACACCAACATGAAAATCTACCTCACTACTGATGTCACTCTTCCCGGAGGCCAAAATCTCTTTCCAGACAGAGTAGCCATTGATACCATCTCCCAGCATGCAGAGCACATTTCAGTCCTAAGTCAGGATCCTGCACCACTCCAGAGCACTCTGCTGTCCATCAGGGATCCCATCCCTTCTGAGCCACAAGGCCTACAGCCCCATCAGAGCTCACACTAAAGGTCCAGAAATGAGGAACGTCTATCTACGTGTTCATTTCCACAGAGACTGCGACCAATTTTCATAGGGCTGAGAGAGTTCATTAGTACAATAGAACACAAATAGAATACAAACGGAAAGTCTGAAATCCAGTAACCTGTGGGCTGAATTCCACAGAGCCCGAAGCTCATTTTTCTAACATTTCTTTTCTTTTTACCTTCACAGGAACACACGGGTGAATGGGGCAAAACAGTCTTTGAATACAGGACACGCAAGGCAATGAGGTTGCCTGTGGTTGACATTGCACCTATAGATATTGGTGGTCCTGATCAGGAATTTGGCGTGGACATTGGCCCAGTCTGCTTCTTATAAACCAAAATTCTGCTCTTTCTGAAACCCAAGCAAACAGATTCACACTCCAACTGTGCTCCTTTGTTTTAGCCTTGTCAGCTAGTACAGGTGACCATCTGTATCCCAGTTATTTATTAACAAAATTTCTGGGGGAAAAATTAATTTGATACAAAGGGTTGTTGGTTGTTTTTTTTTTTGCTATTACACAAAATACAGTAAAAATGCTTTTTTTTTTTTTGCTCTTTTTTTTTTTTACCAAATTCCATCTTTTAAATATGTCTCCGTGGTGCTATAATACAACACTTCAACACTTAATAAAACAATACTGTGTACTATTAGTTGAATGTTAGCCAATTTACAAAGCACTGATTGCTCCCAGTACCAAAGTTTACCCTTCTTTCTAAGATGCAGTCCATAAAGCTAGAAAGACCTCCCTGTTTCAACTACCTCAACATGGACAGAAACTGGGATGTGTCTGATGAGTCAATCCAAAAAATCTGTCAAATCAAGCAAAATGCATTGGACCCAGTGGTCAATTCCATGGAATCATTTGGTACAAAATTGTCCATTTCTGTACCGATTAGCTGTGAAAGGTACAGTGTATTTTCAGAGTTTAATACCTTAATGTCAGTAGCCACCATGTTTTACTTGTTGGATTGTATTCTGCTGTCAAAGGTGCTTCTCTACTTTCCTGTCATTGCTGGTCAAGACCACTAAAATTAGGGAAGTGTAAAAGAATAATATGATGGTGCTAATGTATTTTTCAGTCCTAAGTCTGCAAGTCAGGGTTATTGACTTGCTTAACAAACCAAAAAGGTAAAGGATTTAAAGCAGTTGTAAATGTCTCCTGTCAAAGATTGTCATTGGCATGTCATAGTTGAGAACTTTCTCCCTTCACTCTGTAAAAGTCAATAAAGATGAGAAATTGTGAATTTCTTCCGTCACGTTAACACATTTATAGTGTTGAAGGTTAACCATCTTTGTAAGCTTTTATATGGTTGTTGGTCTATTCCTTACAGAGACACATAATAAAATATCTTAATAAAACTCCTTGTTTCATAAAACTGACTTTTTCTTATTTATTTTTCTATTTGTATTTCAAACTAGTTAACAAGGCAGGACACAACTCTAGTACCACTTGAACTGATTTTTCAAAGCTATTTTTTTTTTAAGAAACCCTGGTAATCTGAAGGGATGCAGTTTGTGGGATACTACTGAAAATATTCTTTCTTACCTTTTTCCACTTCTCTCCAACCAGTGGTTCATCTTTGCAAGCATGATGAGCTTCTCTGACTATCAGTCTGTATTTAGGTCTGTCAGCAAGACCCAAAACAGGGCCCGGGCAGCTAGGCAGGTCAGTTTGGAGGAAATGGAAGGGCTTAACCTTACCTGCCCCCAAAAAAGCTTCCTCAGTCTAAATAAACAGGCAATGATAGGCTAACAAACAGCCTTTCAAATGACAGCTGAAATAAATGGCTTTAGGGACCCACAGGGTAGCCCAGAGGCACCAGCAGTTTGACAAGTTGACACTTTAGACATCTCGCTATTTGTTACGGCCATCGGAGCTGCACAACTAAGATCTTAGCAAAAGTTTAAGGTAAAGCAATTAGCATAGTAGTTTGGCAGTGCCTAAGCTTGAGACAAGAAGGAGGAAATAAGCCACACAAAGGCACCCAGGAAACCTCTCCCAGAGGCAGATGCTGATAGCTGCTACTCAGTCTGTCCTATGGAGGAAGGCACAGGGCCTGCCCCCACACCATTACCTCACAGCCATGCATTGCTCCTCAGCCTAGGCTCATTAAGGACCCTCCACAACAAAGTCAGACAACAAAAACTAGGGATTTAAAAAAAAAACCCCTCAGCTTCTTAAAGGTTCTAATATACAATTACAGATTATGCATCCTCTGACAATTCTTTCCATTGGATCAAGCAGGGAAAAAATGAGCTGAGAAATTGTGAGTTTTAAGAAATCTCACCAGATTTAGGCCTGAGCCAAGACACTACCCCTGCTTTGGCATTACAGGGTTTGGACATAGATAGTGAGGGTCTGGAGAGACCTCACAGCACAAATGCAGTATCAGCATGAGCACAACTGTACTTAATGCAGCATAAAAGAAAAGCATCAACAACTCATAAAAAATATGGGCTCTTGCACGAAACCTGCTCACCTGAGAGTAAAAAAACAGGCTCATGAAAGATAAGAATTACACGTATGTAATGATATTAGTCTGGTAGGAAGACTTTTGATTGAAGTTTAATGAAAGCAGATGGCATGAATGCTGGTGGAAAAAATGCACTGCAAGCACCTGTTCCTAATCCTCATGGCAGAGGGGCAAAAAAAATTTCTTTGTGTAATCTCCAGTGCTACTGTGACTGGGTGGATGGCTGGGAACAATTACTCAACCTTAAAACTGAAGATTTGGAGGCTGTTTGCTAAAGCACACAGGGCCGTTGTGTCTTTCATTAAGAATTTCTACTAATGAAAGGTGATTACTGAAGTAGTTGTAGAAAATACAAATAAATAACCAAGACCACCATAAAATAATTTACTTGATCCACAAACCTCCTCTTTTCTCAGAGGGGCACTCATTAAGCCACCATGACCCTCATACCTCTGTACTTTTATGTCACATGACAATGGCTGTTCGGGGAGAACAAGAAAAAACCCACCATCACCACAAAAAACCAAATGAACTAAAACAACAAACAGAAAAAAACCCAACAACCCACACCAAAAAAAACCCAAACACAAACAAACCAAACCCTGTCTCAAAGAGTTGCCTGGATCATACCAACAGCTAATCACTAATTTAAGATTTAATATTGCCTTTGAACTTCACCTTTCCAATAATTACAGTTATCACCTAAAGGTGTAGCTCTTTTGCAGGACACCAGAGCTGTTCTTCTGGTGAATGTGGACTCTCTGACTATTGTCAGTGACATAGATCCTATTTCAACACTATCTTTCTACATTCTTTATCAAAAATATCTTTTAAGCACTCCAAAATATGACAGAAATCCATCAAATCTCTAACAGTAAGCCTTTGCTAGCTGATTAGACCCTAATTGTAAACACCTTATAAACACCTGTGATGCATTCACATACAGAACCTCCTCTTTGCCTTGTGGAAAAAGCAGATTTGTTTTACTGCTCCTGAAGATATGGTCCAATAATCACCTCACAGGAATGAGCATCAACTTCACAAGATGGTCTCCCTTTGTGAACACATGTGCTCTCTCGGGATTAGCAGGGCAGGGTTTAACACAGGTGATTCTCAATTGTAATTCATCATATTCTTCATAGTGTTTCTCATGGCTTCCCAAAGCAGTTTTCTCAGTTTTCTCTGTAGCGCTTTTGCAGGACACCAGAGTTTTTCTTCTGGTGAATGTGGACCCTCTGTCTGTGGCATAGGGACTATTGCAGCACCTCATTATACATTCTTTATGGGAAATATGTTTAAAAAAACCCCCACAACCTAAAACATGACAACCACCTAGAAAACATATTTAACACAAACACATTGCTATCCAATCAGGCCCCAACTGTAACCAAATTATAAACACCTGTGGCCCAATCCCTCACCTCCCTCTGAGTGATTCTCCATGGCCAACATGTCTAGCAGCCCTGTTAAAAAAAAAACCCACAAGCATCCTCTCACAGCCCTTGGTGGGTGCAGTGGGACAAACTCTGACACTACAGAGGCAGCCTTGCTGCCCACAACTCTCCCAGCTGGAGATACCCACCCAGGGACGGCTCCTGGCAGGACATGAGCTGCATAAGGAGTTGTGTCCCTGCCAGGCAAACCAGCACTTATAGAGGGGCTGTGATAGTTTCTGGGATTGAATAGCTATTAGGAATTTCTTCTGGAAGCTGGCCAATTCTCAACAACTTCCCGTGCTGAAAAATAAGTGGATTTAAATGAGCAGCAGTGTAATGCATAACCCTCAGTCTGCAGTGATCTCAGCTAAATAGTCTTAAACCTCTATCTGCAGGCAGTAATTTGGAGCAAGAGCTCTCTACAAGAATTTTGAATTCATAAAGGAGAAAGTTCTTCTAGTCTAGTGGTCCCTGTCAGATGCATGTTACTTACAGCCTAGAATCACAGACTCAGAGAATCAACTGGGTTGAAAGAGACCTCAAAGATCATCGAGGCCAACCGTACCATCGTTGCTAGACCATGGCACTAAGTGTCATCTCCAGTCTCATCTTGAAAGCCTCCAGA